CGGAGGCCCGAGTAACGGTCTGCGGGGCTGGGCTGGGGCGGGGGCCCGGTCCTCGCGTTCCATCTGGCCACTCCCGAGGCTGGTTCTGAACCCGGTTCCCGGGACCCGCGAGCTTCGGCACGGCCCCGCCCCCCGGGCTCGCCAGCCCGCCCTGTCCCCTCCCCCCGCTCCCCACTCCTTCCCGTTCCCCCTCTTCCTCTTTGTCCCCTCCCCCTCTCTCGGTCACCAGCGCCCTCCGGAGCAGCCTCGTCCTGAACGTCTAGCGAGGAGCCAGCACGCCTTGCGGGGCCTCGGCTGTTTTAGTTAGCGACACGGACCGAGGAGAAAAGTAGGTGCACCCCAACTTCCGAGTCCAAATAGGTCCCGTGTCTGTGCCCAGGTGGGGCGCACTGCTCCTAGGGCTGCGAGCGTAGCCGGAGAACAGGCTGGCTTATGTAAAGCGGCCCCATGGCCCGTCGGTCCTGCTGTGCTACTTGGAAACCCGTTTCTCTTTGTGTTTCTTTATTTAGTCGCTGTTACCCATCTGTGGATATTCTGCGGGGAGATTGAAAGAAAACCTGCTTCCTATTCATTGCCTGTCGTCATCGCTGCCTTCACACCCTCCAGCGCTGGCGAGCCGGCAACTTTGAGTAATTCCCCGAGATACTGCCCAGAGTATTTCGCGAGACAAGTCAGCCTCTTAGGACTCGCACAGTGACCCCAACCCGCTGCTCCCTTTCGGGTTCCTTTCCTGCAAACGACACTGCATGGCTTGCACATTGCAGTTTCCCATGTCTTTAGTCACAGAAAATGGTACCATGTTTTCACATTTTTCACAGACCATCGCGCGCGCGGTTGTGTGAGTGTGTGTGTGTGTGTGTGCGCGCGCGCGCGCGCGTGCCACCATTGCAGTACCCTCCCCCACGTTATTCATCGTAAAGAAAAACACTGCGTCCAATCCTTGTGATATTCAAGCCAATCCTGTGGGCAATCTATGCTCTCCAGCCATCGGAACCAGAGGAATTTACAGTCATCCATACAGGGTGACCGCAAGTCTGGAGATGTATAAAACCGAAGGCAGTGTGTGAAAATCCGTATTCACTCCCACAAGGCAAGCCCTGCCTCGTGTTCCTGTCTCTGCGTGCACACTTCCCAGCCATTTCAGCTCCTGGGAACACGGCCGGAGGGTGGGTGGATGGACTGGTGAATCCTCACAGCTCCCCCCCACCCCCCCAACACATGATAAATCCATACTCCAGCCAGAAGCCTCGAAATAATTTAGCCCAGTTGCATTATTTTCGTGCAAACCATGAGGGCATCTAGCATTTCAGACTCTGAGAGAGAATGCCTTTGCGAATCTTAAGCAAATTCGGTGTTTATTTGCCTTTTTCACTTGACAGCAAACATCATGTTTAGCTTCAGAATGAGAATTAGATTAAGTGCAATCAGGCTGGAAAGTAATGGGTTTATTCTGGGAGTGCTATGATCTTCTCAGAGGAAATATAAGTTAATATTTAGTCTTTCAGATAAGAAACATAATTTCTGTTCTGAGAAAGATGGGTCACCCTTGGAGAAGAGAAAACCAGTGACAGGGATTGTTTATTAGTGCGAGCCCGGGCAGCAGGAACCATGAGAGGGAAGTGCTGTGACTTGATGGGTCTTTCCATAAACACACAGTAGAGGTTGGCGGAGCAAAAGCAGGGCATGGAGACTTCCACGGGAATGGACTGGAGCTAATTCCCCCCTCTGTCTTCTATAGAAAGGTCCCAATTTTCAAAAAGGATTACCTAGATTGCTATTTTGTAACACGATCTACCCACCTCCTTAATGTTAGTGAATTCAGTGAGGATTTGAAGGGAGAAAAGAAAAACTAAATAACTCATGTATACTTTTTCTTTCTTTTCTTTTTCTTTTCTTTTCTTTTTTTTTCTTTTCTTCTCTTTTCTTATCTTTTCCTTTCTTTCCTTTCTCTTCTTTTTTTTTCCACCCTCTCTATGGGAAGGTTTTAAAATATGCATAACATTAAAAGAAAAGAAATGGGAACATGCCTGAGACCTGAATGCTTCGCACAGGAACAGTATTTACTCGTAAAAAAAATGGATGCTTGCAGCATCAGCATCAACCAACTAGTTAAAGGAACTTGAGGCTAACAAATGGAAAATGCAGTCCTCTGTAATGATACACTTCCTGAAAGTTTAGCTTAGTAAAATGGAAATTTGTCTGCTATATTTAAAACTGGTGAATGCATACTGGGATTAGACCTCTGAATCATCTTTTCATAGCCAATATACATTTCATGTGTGTGTATATCTATGGAAGTCTCTGCATAGATATAGCACGTTTTCCTGCTAATATTAAACATTGTTGGGTATATAATTAACACTCAGAGTCTTAAGATGTACATTCTATTATAGCCACAAATGACTATTTTTATCATTATTATTATTATTTTTTTTACAAATGTATCTTTAGAAAGAAGACCTTTCATTTATAAGAACTATTATGTAAGGGGTAAGCTATTATACGAAATCGCTCAAAATCATGATAACTAACACATTTAGAATACATGCAAAGTGTTCCTACTCCCTCTGAACAAGAAACATTTTGCTAAGCAAATAATACACTAAAAACATCACTGAGTAAATATTTGACCCGTTAAATTGAACATACCTGTTTCACAAGAGCTCTGACTACGTGCATTATCTCCATCGCTGAAATGATACCCTGCAGGACAATTCTTTACATCTCCTCTCTCCTGACCCACTCTCCTGAAACGGGCTTCTCCCCTCACTGTTCTGCTAGCTCTTGGCATCTTTGCCTCAGACCTGAATCCTGAGTTTGATCCCTATATCCTCTGTCTACCTGGAACCCCCCTTGTACGTATCCTCAGACCTGGTGACGGGTGTCAGTTGAACTCCCAGACTCTCCAGACCCTGTTTTTTTCTCATGGTGCTTTAGGGCCTTGGCATTTTAGCCTATCCATCTAGAACTTGCTTTTCACCTGATCTTTGCATATTGATCTCCTGCATTGCATTTAGCCCCAGGTGCAATGCTGGAGGTGGGGGTGGGGGTGGGGGTGGGGGTGGGGGTGGGGTGTGCTTCCAGGCACCTGCTGCCCCTTCCCTCCACACATAGGCTGCCAGTGACTGTCACTTCATGTTTGGTACATCAGGACATACTTTAGTTGCTACAATAATCTGTTGATATTCTCACTCGTGTATTCTCTGAATCACCCAGCCAGAGAGTACGCTTCATTAAAACACTAGCAGAAGGACATAGGGCCGGGACTCTGAACCTTATTTATAAAACGTAATTTTACATCATGACCAGCACACAAGCTGTATGTATACAAAGCAGGAACCAAAGTGTCACAAATGAGTATCTCTCCTTATCCAGTGTAATACAGGCTACTTCCTTTTCCATTTCTTTAAACTATGTTGGTTAAAATCCACTGAGTTCACCTATTAATGAGACACTGTTGAAGTTTGAGTGACAGTGGCTTGGGTGTTCTAAGACTCTGGAATATTCTGCCTTGGATTGAAAATTCCAGTTCCAGTGTCCTTCTTTCCCTTTCCCTTTCCTTTTTGTCCCTCCTTTCCTTCCTTCCTTCCTTCCTCCCTCCCTCCCTCCCTTCCTTCCTTCCTTCTTTTGTTCTTTCCTTTCTTCCTCCTTCTTCTTCCCTCTCTCCTTCCTTCCTTCCTTCCTTCCTTCCTTCCTTCCTTCCTTCGTAATTATTTTAGTGGATCTCATCATGTAGCCCTTGATTCTTAATAATAACAAAAGAATTATACAAACCTACTGCCTCCAAACTTCATGTTTTTTCTTTTTTTTATTATTTGTATGAGCTACGTATTTTCTTTTAAATGGGCTTTTTTAAAGTAGTTTTAGGTCCACTGCAAAATTGAGTGAAAAGTACAGAAAATCCTCATATATGCCTGTCCCTCACACACGCACAGCCTCCCCCACTGTGGACACACCCTGTGAGAGCTGTGCGTGGTTACCATTTGTGAACCTACACGGACTCCTCACAATCGCCCAGAGCCCGCAGTTGACATTAGGGCTCACTCTTGGTGGTGCACACTCTATAGGTTTCGATAAATGGATGATGACACGATATGTCCATCACGATGGAATCGCGCAGAATAGCTGCACTGCTCTAAATGCCATTTGCGTCTGGGGTCTGGCAACCACTAATCCTCTTACTCTCTCTGCAGTTTCTTTCTTCTTGGTCTTTTCCAGAATGTCTTATAGCTTGAATCCTGCAGCATGTAGCCTTTTTACATTGGCTTCTTCCACTTAGAAAGAAGTATTTAAGGTTCCTCCCGGGCTTTTCATGGTTGGACAGCTCGTGTGTGTGTGTGTGTGTGTGTGTGTGCTGAGTAGTATTCCATTGTCTGGATGGACCACAGTGTATCCACTCACCTGGTTGCTTCTAAGTTTTGGCAATTGTGAGTAAAGCTGCTCTAAACATCCATACGGAGTGTTTGTGTGGACCTAAGTTTCCAAATCCTTGGGTGAATACCAACGAGCTGGATCCTGTGGCCAAAGCATATTGAACTTTGTGAGCAACCATCGAACTGTCTTCCCGAGTGGCCACCCTGCTTCCCATTCCAGCAGGGATGCGGGCAGCATCCACCTTCTCACCGTCATCCCCAAGTGCTGAGAAGAACACCAGCGCCTGGGGGGAGGCCCACAGATGTTGCTGTTGTGGTGGTTCGAACCTCTGTCCGTCCAGTGCCTCCAGCAGTCCCTGGCAGGCAGTAGCCGCTCGCCAAATGTCCAGTGAATTTTCCTATTTGTTCACGCATCCCAGGGAGCTCGGCCAGTTCTCCCACCCAAGTGACCCCGGATTTCACTCGCTCCTGCTGGTTTCCGTGTACATTTCGGCTGTCCTCAAGACTCTCAGAATTTCAGCCCCAGACACCGAGCCGGTCTCCCAGTTACCACGCTGCAACTAGACCCTCCTCCAACATGCGGCCGGGCCCATAGGGCTCCCCAAGTTCATGTCCAATGGAGCGCCTCGCCCTCGAACAAAATCCACTCCCCTTTGCAATGCAGGCAAAGCAGGGTTCTTTTCTTTCGGCCTCTCTAGCTTTATCTCTATTGCAATCAGCAAAACCGCAAAGGAGCATTAGGGCAGCGCAACACAGAGCAGTGGCTTTCAAACTTATTCTGACCGTGACCTGCCACACGAAACACATCTTTGCATCGTGACCCCGGGCACATTCACACTACACACGAATGAAACTGCAGCCGTGCCCGGGAGAGACGCTTGTGGTTCCAGATAAAGCTGTTTCCCGGGCTCACGCTGGTCCTAGTGACTAGGCATTTGTTAGAACTCGATGGCTTCTGCAATTTAAACAAAACTTATTTTCATTAAACTTACGTGAATCAACTTCAGTCTCCACCTGTTTGTTTGTTTGTCTGTTGATGAGAAACTGCTCTAGGAAAACATTTGACTGGACACCTGGGTATTAAAAAAAAAAACCCTTATTTATAAAAAAGGTAAGTAATTGTTTCCTAAAAACTCAGGTCTGGGGGCGCCTGGGTGGCGCAGTCGGTTAAGCGTCCGACTTCAGCCAGGTCACGATCTCGCGGTCCGGGAGTTCGAGCCCCGCGTCAGGCTCTGGGCTGATGGCTCAGAGCCTGGAGCCTGTTTCCAATTCTGTGTCTCCCTCTCTCTCTGCCCCTCCCCCGTTCATGCTCTGTCTCTCTCTGTCCCAAAAATAAATAAAAACGTTGAAAAAAAAATTAAAAAAAAAAAACTCAGGTCTGCCCTCCTCCCAGGCTGCCCTCCGAGCTTGCACACGGTGCTGCCTGCTTCTGCACCTGCTGTATTTTCCTGCAGCCGCCCCATCTCGTGCCCCGGGGGATGGGCAGCCAGCGAGGTGGGCTGGCGACAGGACTCCTGTGTGTTACGCGAACCCTTCACCCCCCGAACCAAAGAGACACTCCAAAGACGCTGTGTGCCCGTCCTCAGGGGGCCGTGGGCGGGGGGGGGGGGGGGGGGAGAAGACACCCGTCCATCCACCTCGGGACGGAGGAGGCCCCTCCCTCGGAGGCTCTGCTCCTTTTCCAGCAGTGCCTCTGTGTCATCGTCACCACTCAGG